TGTATGAAAATTTACAATAAATAAACAATTATATGTGAAAACATCTGCAACAAATATTATCTACAATTATACATGTAATATATTAAAATTATAACATTAAACAAGAATATTAAATATACCATATTTAATTTTAATAATCTTAAAGCACCAGCAGTAAATAATAGTTACAATACTAGTACTATTAAATTAATTATTTAAAAGATAGTCATGGTAAAAAAATACAGAATACATATTAAATCAGTATTAAATTATGAATTTATTTATATATATATAAATAGTAAAGTTTAAATACTGTGTACATTGTGTAATGTATATTTCACTCATGTTATTGTTTTACAGGTCATGCCACTGCAGATGACATGATATCCCACTTCACTCCTTCAGTTTTGGAAAGTGGACTGTACGTTCCCAACATGGTACAAGTCAGCATGGACGGCCCAAATGTGAATTGGAAATTCTTGAAGCTGTTGAAAGAAAAACTGAAGCAGGAACATAACTCAAATTTGATAAACATTGGATCATGCGGCTTGCATATTGTGCATAACTCATTTAAGTCTGGTGCTGAAGTCACAGGGTGGAATATATCATCATTTCTGTCTGGTTTGTATTACCTGTACAAGGATTCTCCTGCAAGAAGGGAGGACTTTACCAAAGTCACTGGCTGTTCAATGCTGCCCTTGAAATTCGTAAGCCACAGATGGTTGGAAAATGTCCCAGTGTGTGAAAGGGCCATTTTGCTGTGGGACAAGATTGTGACTTATGTGTAAGCAGTTGAAAGGAAACAAGTTTCAAAACCAACCTGCAAATCTTATCAAGCGGTTCTAGAATCTATGCAAGATATTTGCTTTGTTGCAAAGCTAACCTTCTTCAAGATGATTGCCCTACAACTGCAACCATTTCTATCACAGTATCAGAGCAACAAACCAATGGCTGTTTTTTTGTGTGAAGACCTTGTCATGTTGATAAGATCCCTCATGAGAAGATTCATAGAATCTGAGAAGCTGGAGCAGCTGAACGAAGAGACACTTGCCAAACTTGATGTCACCAACAAGGACTTTCATGTAACATACAGTAAAGTAGAAGTTGGTTTTTCGAGTGAGAAGGCACTCAAGCAAAAGTCAAGTTATACTGGAAAACAAGCTAGTGAAAAACAAGTACTGGACTTCAGGATGAATTGCAAAAACTTTCTGATATCACTTCTAAAGAAAATGCTTCTGAAATGTCCTGTATCTTACCCTCTGGTAAGGTACTTGTCATGCTTTAGTCCTGTCAGAATGGTTTCTGCAAAAGAAGAAAGTATTCAGAAATTTAAGAAGGTTCTGAATGTTCTTCTGAATGCCAAGCGAGTGGATGAGATAGACTGTGATGTCCTATTAGATCAATACCTCCAGTTCTTAGAGAGTATACCTATGTTTGGCTCAGAGAAGTTCTCTAACTTTGACAAGTCCACAGACTCTGCTGACCAGTTCTTCCATCATTACATGTGCCAGGATGGCAGAAAACAACAGTTCGAAAAACTGTTTTCTGTTGTGAAACTTATCATGATACTGTCACATGGACAGGCTGCAGTTGAGAGGGGGTTCAGTGTCAACAAAGAAATAGAGGTGGAAAATATGAAGAAACAAACACTTGTGGCTCACAGAGCAATTTGTGACCATGTGACAAAAGTGGGAGGCTCTTAAAGGTGGACATTAACAAAGAACTACTGTTGTCTGCAAAGTTTTCCAGGCAACGGTATGACAAATATCTAGAGGTGGAAAGAGAGAAGAAAAAGTCAGCAGAAGAAAAGAAGAAGAGGAAATGTACTCTACAAGCAATTGAAGAAATAAAAAAAAGAAGACTAGAACTAGACATCACAAGCTTGTCAAAAACTGCTGCTGATCTTTCCTTGAAGGCAGAGGCAACCCAGAAAACGTCCTTTGTTGTGCAATCAAATGCACTTAGAAAAAGTGTTAAAGATAAGACTGTAGAGACAAGTCAGTTAGTAGAAAGTCTAAATAAGCGTCTTGAAAACTTAAAAAAGTGTTGACAAAGGTAAATGTATGACAATTGAAACAATTAAAATTGTACTTGAAAAGTACCAAATAGGTACTGGAAAAGTACTGGATGAACCATGGGAAGGCTTCAACTGCACCCAGTCCAGATGTTCCTGGCTCCCTACATCAGGTGTCCATCGTCCTCCCGGATCACCCCAAACCTCACCTCCCGTGGTGGATGGTGGAATCGAATGTCTTAGACGGCATCTCCTTGACAGGGCTTATGACATCGTTACATCAGGAATGGGGTGCACACCTAGAGGGACAGGTCACTTGGAGCCGTGATCCGCCGATCGGTGCCTGTGGCACATCAACAACCTAGAACTGGAGACGCTCATCCTGGCTCTCGCTCATTGGAAGCAGTCCCAAAGACATGCCCGGCTCTCCATCTCGACAGACAACATAACCGTCGTCTGATGTCACCCTGTCTCACCCTCGCTCCTTCAACAGACGTTCCATTTCTTTCCATTTCTTGTGGATCATCTTAGGATCCATTTCCAGGTCCTACACATTCCATGCTGTCGCAGCATCCTGGTGGTTGTGCTATTACGGCCAGACAAAGTTGCCCTCACAGAGTGGAAGCTCGAACCAGACGCCTTCGCTCTTATTTGTCGTGGTCTCCCCAACATAGACCTGTTTGCCACCAGCCAGGACCATCAGATACCGACACTCATATCACAGGTACCGGATCACCTTGCCTGGACGGCCGATGCCTTCAGCGTTTCCCTGGGAAGGACTAAAGGTGAACGCTTTTCCGCTACCTGTACTTCTTCCAAGGGTCATCCAGAAGATCAGATCAATGCAGAGCCTCGATCTGACTTTGGTCGCGCCCTGATGGCCAGCGAGGGCCTTGTTTGTCAACCTCAGAGAACTAGCCGACGCCAACCCGCCGAGTTCCTCCTCTATCTGCGCCACAACCATAGAGTCAAAGGTAGTACCATAATGACCTACCTAGTGGCACTCCACTCCTTGATCGGCGCATGACGAAAATCCTGGAACTACAGGCTCTGCTCCGCTCATTCAGGTTGGGAGACCAGAAGTTGAAATTTCGTCCACCAACTTGGGATATCACCTTGCTGAGAGGCGTGCCCTTTGAGCCTCTCACGACATTCTACCATCTGACGCTTGCTACAGCCTCCTGTGTCAGTGAACTACAAGTCCTGGACATCACGCACATCTGCTTTGAGCAAGGAGGGCACTGTGCTGAGACTTCATTGCCAAGGACCAGCACCCAGGACAGCCCGATATATCGTTCCTCATCCCTCCCCTATCATCGATTGTGGGCACGGAAGACGAACAAGAGCTCCTCCTGTGCCGGTGAGGGCATTATGTTTTTGCATCTGTCTGTCCCAGGAACGCCGCAAACAACACCGCCGCCTCTTTGTGCCGGTATCTGCGACCTTGCGAGCGGAAGTCAGCCGCAACACGATTGTCCTCTGGCTGCGAGCCATCATTCTCCAGGACTATGAAGCCGAGGGATTGGAGCCCCCAAGCTCCAACAACCCGCATGAGATCCGGGCAGGTGCCACCACCATTGGCCTACACAGCAACTACTCCTTTCATGCAATCATGGAGGGGTGTTTCTGGGGATCGAACACAGTCTTCGTCAGTCACTACCTGCTTTGGATAATGTGCAAGGCATACACAGTTTTGGTCCATTACTAGTGGCCCAACAGGTCACCACTACTAGACGTCATAGACCTCGACTCCAGTCCAGAACCGGCCTCTCGACCACCCCTGGCCTGAGTGCCCTGGAGAAGGTTCATGCCCCTTGCATACAGATCAGTACGTCAGTCTACAACTTTAACTTGAGTAAGGTTATCGTCTATGGCTGCATCATACGTGGACACCCCGCATACCTGACTCTTGTTTCCCATCTACAGATTGGTCATTTGCTGCCGACCACGCAACCAAGGACTGGCTGAGGGAAACAGAGTTCTGAGATAAAAGTCCACATCTGAAGGTATACCCTCCACCGATTCCGTCGGATAAAGATGCATTAAGGGGTATTGCAGGATAAGTAAAAAATCTAGTAAAATTCTAGATATATTTTGTATTCGTATACTTATCCTGCATTACTGCGTCTAAAGAGACCTACCTGTCGCAGAGCTGCCTCCCCACGATGCCTTCAGATGTTCTGGACTCCAGAGTAATGTGAGGATCCATGACGTCACTTTCCCTGGTCACCTGGGAGCTGTGTGATAGGGTCGGCCTCTCAGCTAGTTGGATCAACTTCATCAAGCTAAGATCTTCACACAGCTCTTTTCTCTATCATGAAAAAGGAGTAATTATATCAAGGAGTAATGCAGGTCTTCAGCAACACATGCTTGCTGTAAAAGGCGACTATGCTTGTTAGAAGAGGCGAATAAAGGGATCAGGCTGTCAGACTTGGGTTTGGTTGATGCATGTTACATATCCCAATTGCATGGATCGATGCTCATAATGTCAATCCCTGGAGCGGGGGGGGATGGGGGGTGGGGTCGGGTAGCCTAGTCGTTAAAGCATTCGCTCATCACGCTGAAGACCCGGGTTCAATTCCCGACATGGTAACAATGTGTGAAGGTCATTTCTGGTGCAACCTTGCTGGAATATTGCTAAAGGCAACATTAAACCATACTCACTCAAGTAAATCAATCATTGGAAGTCTGGTCCACACCTGATTATTTACAGACTGCTATCATATAGCTGGAATATTGCTGAGTGCGGCGTTAAACAACAAACTAATGAAGAAACAAACTACATCATTGCCAGAAATTCTGTACTTTGGTTGTCATTATATATATGTGGATAATGGACAGAGAAGAGAAATTTTATACTGAGATCACAGCTGAATACATTATTTCTGGCACTTAGGTAATAGAGATTTTGTTTTCGTGAGAATTGTAATCTTTCTAGTACGACTGTATTGATCTTTGCATTGCTGCATATATATGACTTGTTTAACACCATTTCTACTTTTTTCAGTGGCAAATCCTGAAGGTAAGATTTATTGTTTGTCAAATGGTGTTATTGTCATATGTTCACAGAATGTGTACAAATGACCATATATTAAAGAAATTGTCTTGGAAGTTATTGGCTCCGACTACACAGTCAACTGGTCAGGGATTTAAATTCCAGATTCAATCTGATTCATACTTGGTTATCTAGTGAATTATTTTCCATTCTGTTCTGAGATGTACTCTGGATCCTTTTTACCTCACCGTAGGTTTGTTTCAGAAGTCGCATCAGTATCTCTATCTCTCCTTATATCTCCTTATCAGAATTTGCTGCTCGTGAGAATGATATGATTGGATGGATACAGATGACAAACAGGGCGTTCAATGACAAGTTTTCTGATTGGTCAATTTAAGTCACAATAGATCCTGATGGAGATATCTCAATTTTTATATTGCAATGCTTGTGAAAAAACCTGCGCTACAAATAGACTTGAAATTAACTCTATTGCTCCTTTCCAGTTTTATACTTCAAAGATATTTCTGTTTCAGCATCTCCACAATTTGATGAAAAACCAAATATTACTTTTGAGTTAATGGACAAAGAATTGTCAAGTGAACTATTATTCTCGTGTTACTTTAATCGTTCCTCTGAAAACCTGTTCTACAAGACCATCTGGTATGTGGAAGGAGCCCCAATTTACACATTTGAACCTCTTGAGTGGAACTCGGATGACTTTGACTACATTGCAAACAGGACATTGACAGAACAGTTGCTGAAGGACAATGGGGTTGAGAAGGCTGGGTTTAATGTACGTAAGTCCTGACCAAAGGGGAGATGCTAAAGTAGGCATAACCTCAAATGTTTAAATATTTTCTAGAATGTAGAGAAATTAAACATCCATGCAATTGTATACATATCCTTGAAATCAAAACTACTTTGAAGAAAATACTACCTGTTAGGCTTGCATGACTGTCAGAAAACTTATTGGGGAATTTATGGGCAGAATGGGTAACCAGTGCCTGGCAGCTGACAAATAATCTTTGTGTTATATACAGTGAAACCCTGTTTGTCTGGCCATTGTATTTGTTTTAAAAGGAATTCAAAAGTTGGAAGAAAATTAATACATGACACTTTTTTATGGATAGCAACTTCTTTTCATCAGATGATTGCTGAGTAAGTGCATAGAGTTCAATCATGGTTTCACAAGACAAGGTGGGATGAATGTACAAGGAGCTCCTCAGTTACACGGATCGACATCTTCAACGGGATCATTCCTGCTGTTACAGTCATAATCATCAACCGCACTTGCGCCCTTTGGGATCTCTATCAGCACAGTGTCTTTGCAGACCACCCATGTGGCTGGGAGAGCTACCCCTCACACTTGAAATAGTATCCTCCATGGTGTGGTTATCCTTAAGCTTCTTCCTGTCCTTACTCCTGGCTAACTGATTAAACCTGCTCTCATCGGGATCAGCCCTTTGATTGTCATCGCCGTGAAGAGCCTTGACATCCCTCTCCTTCTGATAGATGTTTGTCTCTGTTGGTCGCTCGTGTGGACCGACGTTCTACGGGCCGCTCACGATTGTCATCTGTTTCCTGTTCGGATTCCTTCTACTTCGTCTGTGCTGACCCCTCCTCACTCCATACCTCATGGTACCAGGCTAACATTCGGGCGCTGATCGTAGAATCAGGCAATTATTAGATTTGGTGGATCGATAGTCAATGTGAAGTTGTTCTCCATCTACAAGCTATGCAGATGTTTGGTGTGGCCGCGATCATTCCCGCTAGCGCCAAAACTTCTGGCCTTCATCTGGTTCATCAATTATTGGGCTTCACCAAGTCGACGTCCCTCTTATCACTTTCCCATCACAGATCCTTAGGCAGGCATGGGGCCACAACACTGGTCATCTCATGGCAGTATCTAAATGGCTTCACATTTTCCCCGTCTTGCAAAGACCATCACTGAGGCTCACCATACCTCCACTTAGACCCTATATACGGCCATAAATGAATGTGTTCGAAGCCTAGTGTTGAGCTCGTGATATCACCAAGCTGACTGCTGCCTCATCTCGAAAGGTCCCTGAGTGTCTGCAACATCCAAGATCGAATCTGAAATTTAAGGGCTCTACTTTGCCTACTTATCCCACTTTCTATGTCACGTATCAGTCACCGATGTTCATGGTGTACACAAGTTCGGTCTCTTGGTCCTGGCGCAACAATTGACAGCTACACACCAGCGCAGATAGATGATACTTGTACCCCGGTCCTGCTGCCTGGTACTCCGTTTCCTGTACATACAGAATAAACATAGGAAGGGAACATCCTTCCTTTGTTTATTGTTGTTTTTCAGGTTCCCAGACCGATCTTCAACATCGAAGTTGCTGCAAGGCACAGCCTTTACATTTAGTGTCCGAAACCTTTATTTCACTCATCTCTGCCTTGAGTATTTGTGTTGTGAACTGCACCCTATTGTCTGTCCGAGATAGTGCTGCGCCCTGTTTGAAGAATCAGTCCAGGATGGATTTTAAGTTCTCAGCTGTATCGCCTGTGTGTTTTCAGCTATGTGGTCATTCTATGATTGATGACATACGTAAAAACATGTTCGGCATGTATCCCTGATCTCATGCTGCTTTGTCCAATTTATGTATCGGGATTGTATCAGCAGTTGTTTGTGTGTTTTTCCGCCTACAAGTTCAAGACTTTCAGGCACTAGGCATTGTTTTAATTTTTACTTGTTGCACTATTTAGCTCCAGCTACCTCGAGTATATCTCAAGGTTGTAGCCTATACAAGCTAGGGTATTTGCTGTATATGACCCAACTGGGGGATGAAATGCATAGAAATCTCACACATGATGTGCCCACACATGTGATCGGGTCGTGTGAGGTTACCGTGCTCTACACGTGATGGGGTCCTGTGAGGTTACCGTGCACAGAGCACAATATTGACCCAGTTATTGGTCAATAACCAGAGGGATGCTGGGATGTTTGGATGAAGTGTTTTGTTTTAGAAGCTGGATACATGGTGCAAGCATGTTTCCACATAGGTTCAAAGAAGAAATACATAGTGTAGTGTAAGATAGCATAAGTATATAAATTTACAATTTATAGCAAAAAAAATCCAATATTAACTCTATGCACATCTTTCCACTCAGCATTCACCTGATGAAGGAGCAAGAATAAATTCTGAAATGTTGTGATGAAGAAATAGCTTAGTAGACCTGGGAATATCTGGGTTAGAATAGGTCTTCAGCGACCCATGCTGAAGAGGTGACATCATCGACAAACAGGATCGGGTGGTCTCAGGCTTGCTGACTTGGTTGATGCTAGTCTTCCTATACCAGTTGCTTGGATCAATGCTCATGTCAATCAAGGGATTTACAGACCACTGTCATATACTGTAGCTGGAATAATGCTGAGTGTGGTGTTAAACAAAGAGATTTTCTCTTCCTTTCTGTATCTTTAAAAAGATTTACTGCTTTTTAAAAACTCCTTTACTCCTCATAGTAAATTTAAGGCTACTCAAGTGCTCTTTTTGCTCCCCTCAAGGATCATGTTTCAAGGCCTTACTTATGTACAGTATATCTGTGAAATTAGTTGCAATACCAGCTCTATCACAAATTGGGACTCAATTGTCATGCTTTAATTTGAAGTAATAATGTTTCTTGGAGTAATTTAATGAACATGCTGTGAGGATATATGTTAAGTAGAGTATGGTTTTTGTGAATTATACTTTTTATTGCAGTTACAATGTGGTGTTCAGGCTCTGTATGCTCCCGGTGGAGCAACATCCAGTGGCAAATTATCAGAAGTCCAGTTTGTCGGAGTGAAGATTCAATGGGTATGTTGCTCACTTTAAGCTATGCCGTATTGATGGGTTATTATCATGCTCACTATAATATATTTGTATTTCTGGTGATGTATAATTTGTTTTGGTGGTAGGGTGTGGTTGGGTGCACTTAAAAGACCCAACCAATTAATGAATTTATTTCTGAAAACAATTTTGCATTTCTAAACCAAACAAATAGTCATGAAATGTTATATTTGTTGAAGCCATGTCACTAAATGGTTTAGTTAAATGTGTTCAGTCATCAACAGGATTACTTTGCTTCAAATAAGATAACCTCTGGATCAGTTTATGATATTGACTTTGAGAAATCTTTTGCGAAAACAAGGTTGATCAATTTCGTAATGAAGCTGAAACAATTCTATCCCTTGAATGTATTCAAAAGTATGGCATGTCACTCAAGGAAAGGTGCCAAAAATCATGAAAATACTCTTCATAGTTTCATAAAAAAAGACAATATTATTTTATAGATAGTGGCATTAGAAAATACATTCTTAAATATTACTTTCATCTTTGAAAAAAATATTAAAAAACAAACTTGATATAAGAAAAGTAAATATCATTGATAAATACTTTGTTACATGTTCAAGAAAATTAATTAAGCAATTAATACTTAAGCCGAAAAACAAATATTTTCTTTATTCAAGATAAAAATAAGAATTAACTTTTCTCTGGAGTGATACAGCAATCTTTCAAAATTATGAGTAATTTCCTTGTTTTCTGTCAGAAATATTTTCTTGTGACTAGTTTCCTGCTTTTAGATTTGTCTTAAAATAAGAAAACCTGATGTCTGTTTTTTTTTACACCAGTCAATGTCTGACTTTTTGACTGTTTGCTTTACATACAATGAAGTATACCCTTACATCTTTTAAATAAGGTATTGAAATAAGTGACACAGAAAAAGTAACCAACTTTTTTTGGATAATCATAAAGGAAAACATTTATATTAATTATATATATAAGGACATGGCTCCATTAGGACAGGCTCCGCTATCATATCAACTTGAAATTATGACAAGAGATATTATCTGGATGAAATCGTCGTGGATGTGGAGGTACTGGTGGACTGCAGAAATGAGCTTAACCTCAGTTAAGCGACCCCAAATGCAGCAACCGCTGCCCTGCAACAACTGTTGACAAGCAACCCATGTTGCTTACCAATGCAACGCCCGCTGATCTGCAACTACCGTTGCCAAGCAACCCATGTTGCTATGCAGCTAGCACTGCCAGGCAAGTACCATTGCCAAATAATGAGCAAGAGCAACTATTGTTGCCAAGCAGACCATCCACTGTAAGGCGGACACTAAGCCATCTGCTGTAAAGCAGAATGGATATATTGGTTCCTGCTGTAAAGCGGGCAACCCTATCCTATATAATTTATAATTTGGGATGTATCCAGAGACGCCAAATGTAACTTGTAATGCAGTCCACCAGCATCCCGCAACATTTTATTCATGACGACATCATTATATACAAGCATAATGCTCCAGTAAAGTTCCACCAAATTGACAACTGAAAAGCTTGAATAACTTGTAATAAAGGATAACAGGGTGTGTGGGTGTAACAAACTACAGATGAATGAGCGAATATAACTATGTGTTGTAAGGCTGAAAGAGAGAGAAAGTGCGGCGTGAGCTGATGCCAGGCTACAAGATGTCATAGAAAATATTAACAAACGCTCCTATACCGGACGTGCCAAGAGCGGATCTAGGCCAGAGACAATGGCACCATGCAAATCAGCATGTAGATGCACAGAATGAAGGTATTTAGCTGTAATAATATTAGCAATGGTGCCAAGCCTGACATAAAGGCATTTACCTTGATTGTGATAGGGTTTCTTTTTGCTGAACAATCTCATGCAGTATCAAATGGAGATCACTGGACCCAAATTTACAAGACAATTTTGCGGAGGCGCAAAATGAGGTTATATTCACTTTTTTTGTAATCACCATCTCTGTGCAATTTGACTCAGAACAAAGCTCTGGGAGAGCTACTCTTGCACTTGGAATCGTATTCTGCTTGGCGTGGTTTGTCTCATGCTTCGTCCTATCCTCACTTCCACACCCTCGAGAGAGCATGACTCGAGATGTCCCTCTCCTTTTTGTAGATGTTTGTCTCGTTGGCCACTCATGTGGATCTCCTGATCATCATCTCCGTTTCCATTTCAGATTCCTCCTACCTTGTCTATTCTGACCCCTCCTGTGTTTCTCCCTTCATCCACACAGTTACTACCGACCTCATGTGAACTTCTAGACCAGGCTAACGATCCGGCGCCTAAACTACAATCGTTCCTGCAGGCTGTGACCTGTGCCCTCCAGAATCGTTGCGGGCTACCAGTGGTAACTCCTCTTGCTAATTCAACTTTGAAGACCGTTCCTCTCAGTTCAGCTGTTCCTATTCCTCGGGATGTTGATCCTGTGCCAGCTGGTATTGATGAGGATCATTAAGGGAAGTGACATTGACACCCTTCTCCTGAGGTTGACGTTATTATCTGTATCAGGGCACAGGCTTTATTTATAATTGATGGCAGCAATGTCGCCAACTCTCCTTGGCAAATATATAACCTGCCTTCACTATTGTCAAGCGTTCTTTGGCTCAGTGTTTTAAGGTTTTGTTGAAGAATTCTGTTATGTCATCAACCAATAAACCTTAGTAGACAGGCCTCCATTCTTTTCGTACCTCTCGTTTTGTTTTTTCAAGACCACGTCATCAAGCTTTCGATGAAGGATGATGCATCACCCTCCCTTGCCTATGTCATGGAAGCACTCAACTCTCTCCTGCGATGTTCATTTATTCCTTTGCTCACGGAGATTACAAAATTATTAACAATCAAGACTGGGAATTTTTCCCCTCTCAAGATCGACATTATCATGTAACTGAAGATCGACTGAATCGTGTGCCACATTTTTACTAGTTCAATCAACAGAAGTTTGATTTTTTAATTTTATTTACATGCATCAGATGTCATAGCAGTAAACTTCCTGAGGCACAAGTCACGTCACGCATTCTACAGGGTACTGGCTGCAAGTACACTGTTATCTCTTTGGAACTCGGGATGCTGTATTTGTATGTCTGCTGTACAGTTTTCTCTGTTGTGTTTTTCATCAAGTTCGAGGCAAGAATGTAGACTGATTTGCTTGCTCTGAAGTGCTTGCAGCCATCGCCACACTACCAGCCTTGGGTAGTTGTTTATGAGAGGATACCAGTCTGTACAAGGATACAGTATTCAATGCCTGACAAAGGGATGTTTGCATAGCGTGTGCTAGGATTTTTTCTAGGTTGTGACAAACCTTTTTATGTTGAAATCAGTACAGACTGACCTATCCCAAGCCGTTAAGCACACTTTACTTACTCTCGTTGACGTGACAGTGAGTAGATCTATATTGATATTTACACCAAAGTAGCTGCATCGCTACTGTTAGTTCCACCAGTTCGTGGCGGCATTCAGCTCCCAAGACTGGTTACCCAACAGCTTCCTCACTGATGATGTTCCTGCTGTAGCAGTCCTCATGCCTGTCCCCAGTGTGTCTGGGACCATGACTGCGTTAGAGCAACCATAAGCTTCCACAGGGTTCTCTCTGCGGACATTTTGTCCCAGCCAGCTTTAACAGCTACTGTTGATGATCCTAGTGTTTCCCTATCGTAAACTGACAGTCTTCCTGGTCTCTTGTGCTTTCACATGTTGTTCCTGGTGACGTTGAACCCACCACTTTGGAAGCCGTTTGAGTCCTAATGTCTCACACAAGACATCTCCACTCCCACAACTGCTTCTCCACAACAGATCGCCGATTATATCCATCACTTTAGATCTATGCAGAAGTTCAAGGGATCTGCTTTGGCCACTCATCTAGATGCAATCAACTCCATCATTGCTCATACCACACGATCAAAGGTTTCTACCATTGCTGAACTTCAGTCTTTCATCCGTTCCTACAAGTTAGTGAACCGGAACTCCCGTTTCCGGCCTCCCACCTGGCATTTTAACGTCATCCTTTGTCATTCCCCGAATATGAACCACTTACTGAAAAAGAGTCCGAGTTTATTACTTTCAAGACTATTTCTTTCCCAGCCCTTTGCAACTGCTGGACAAGTTAGCAAGATCTATGCTCTGGGGTCCAGTGCAAGGCACAAATAACGAAAATCAAATACAGGTTTCACTGTTTGAAGACGAAACATATCTGATAATTAACAAATTAGCAAAACAAATGGCTAACGAATTATGCATGGCTAATATCATTTCCAAGAATAATGCTGTGAATGATAGGAATTCAAGGTTACAACATTCAAGGCTTCAGTGAAGCTTTCAAAAAGTTTTATGGTAGACATGTAGAGGACATTTCCAAATTTGACGCATCAGTGACAAAAATTATGTCCAATACAATTCCCTATAATTCTTAAGAAATCTCTACCCCTGCTAAATCTCTCCCATTAATCCTGTATTTTTGCTTCAGTCACACTAACTAAAATTTGGCGATTTTTCAACAGATGTCCACTTCACTGTTGATTACACACACAACTAGTTGTCGCCAAGTAGTCTCATAACTACCCAAGCCATGATGTCAACACTTTTTTCCTGTGTGTGCAACACCTATTGTAATAGTAGTAAAGATCTAGCACTTGGTAGTAAGTCACATTAATCTAAGATTATTCTAATATTTTCTGTAAATAAAGAGACAAATAAGTGTACATTATTATTATTGACGGAGTGAGTAGCACGCATGTAAGTTTTGCTGGTGCTTGGTTCTCTTTGTGAGGTCAACATGCAGCCTCCCGCTATCCCCTGGTGCAAGAAGTGTGGACGTTTCATGGTCATTGGAGAGCCTCATGATAACTGCACCAAATGCAGAGGCACTTCAGGTAATAAAGAAAAGAGATGTGAGAGTGAGGCCGCTAAGAGTGAGAGAGTGAGTGAGTGAGTATGGTTTTACGCCGCTTTTAGCAATATTCCAGCAATATCACGGCGGGGGACGCCAGAATTGGGCTTCACACATTGTACCAATGTCGGGAATCAAACCCGGGTCTTCGGTGTGACGAGCAACGCTTTAACCACTAGGCTACCCGACCGCCCCGAGACCGCTCAATTTAAATTGTTTAATTCACCGGACAATTAATAACAAATAATATCATTTTAGATATACATGGGAAACATATGTTTGTTTCTGTTATAATAACGATCTGTTAACGTAGTGAATGGTCTAATTAATATTCATGAGTTATATCTGCTCAAGTGTACACGTTGTAACATTTGGATCGAGACTATTATCCCATATTTGGTTATCACGTGACCTCACGGAAAACTCTTTTTTTTTAACTAAAGATTATTTGAAAACAAGACAGATAATATAATCACAAATACTAAAATATGGTTGATAGCAATAGTTATTTGAATACTTTTTTCATCTGTACTTAAGTATTGACCGTAAAAAAATATATCTATTGTCACAGAAAGCGAAATGGCGGTCAATCAAGATTCAATATACGACTAGCTACTGAAAACAATAAAATCTGTAAATCCTCATTGTATGTCAACCAAGTGAAAGTCCTAAGCCACGACTTACAAAATGATCGTCCAGACTTTAAGGGTTTGGCAGATCTGCTCGACTGATCTGCATCGGTAGACCGGCTGTCGTCACGCTTTCGCTTCTTGTCTGAGGTTACGTATCGTAGCATTGTGAGGATAATGAGTTACATCGATGATGCAAGGTATTTATGTACAGTTGTAAACACCTTTCACTCAAATTAACAAGATGTTTTCAGTAATTAACCCTCGATTAATCAGTGTCAACTCAATTTATTGCCTATTACAGTGATTGACCGCTTGGAATATCATGTAGGTACGATGTATTTAAAGCAGTCAAAACAAACAAAGCTTGTCAGTGTAGATAATCTTTATTGTGTTACAACTGCAGACAGAAACTGCTCAGTCCTAACTGTTGATAATGTCCGGTCAAAATTTAATAATGTCCTGACAATACTTTTTAAAATGTCCGGACAGAAGAATTTAAATGTCCGGTAAGCAATATTTTAAACTTGACATTTGAGATTCCCAATCGGACATGTCGGGCGCATATGACGGTTTCCAGACCCCTGCTCTCAACGCTGGATGAAGAAATGAACAAGATCAAGGAGATTGCTCTGTCAAAGGAGAATTCCCCGGTCACAAGACCATATAGGGGATGCCATCTGTTCAATCATTACATATGGCAGTGCCTTCTCCAGCCGACCAGCCAGCTGACCGGCCGGGTATAAGTGATGGCTCTGGCAAAGAAAAATTCCCCAGTCACAAGAGCATATGGGGGGATGACACACATCTAACATCGGCTTCCAGATACTTACATTAATTGGTTTGTCGCCAGAATCAGACACATCATTCCACCATTACAGCCATGTTATGAAAATAACCCGAAACAGGCCCATGATTATTAGGACTGATCATCGTGGTGTTCTCTCCTTTGCTGCAGAACCACCATTGTCTATACTACTTATGGCTCAAGCTATGAGAATCTGAAAAGTTGCTGGTATGCATTTCACCTCAGCTTCAACTTTAAAACTCAATCATATATTGTAGCCTCTCATTATGCTTTGAAGAAGCTGCTACACAAAATTTTGGGGATTTAAATAAAAATAAAATGGTCAAATATTTTTTTCATCAATTTCAAAACACGAGGTTTCTTTGTGCTTCACAATATGAAATTTGGAGAAGAAATGGGGTGGGGAGGGAGGTGGATGTATGATAGGGAGAAGCAAGGGTGGAGGGGTGGAGGAGACATATTTTTGTCCAAACAAAAACATTTAGTTTGCGTTTTTTGTTAATTCTAATTTAATAGAATTTAAAGTGTCTGTGAAAGATGTTGAGGGAAAGCTTAAGATGCCATTGTACTTTGAGTCTCATAATAATAAGTGATTTGTTTTGAAAATTGTTGTTTGTCATTCAAGTTTCAGCATATTTTCAGGCCATTTTCCATAATTGTAGGATTAGTAAGATCTTTCTTCCATTAGTATTTTTTAAATATCATATTTTTGTAACAGCATATGCTAGACTGAGTTTTGAATAAATCACATATTTTCTAGCAATACACTATGAGTGTGCTGATCCAAGTAATGTAAATTAATATTTTGTAATAACTTTGTAAAACACAAGATTTGGACTCAACTTGGATTGCAACCTGTTTCATTCTAGATAAATACACCTTGCATACTTATTTCAAGATTTAAAATGTCAGTATTCAAGAATTTGCACCAGCTGTTTAATACAGGTTTTGCATGTGGTGAGGATAGGGTATATGCTTGCTGTATATATATAGTCAGTGGTGGTACAGAGTCTCCTGCAGTCTGTAACTTTGAACCAGTAATATCCCACAATTTTTGGGAACTTGTGACATGTTTGTGGCTGCAGGCTATTATGTTGAACAAAAATTCGGCTTTATAAGAATTTGGACTTGCTAGC